CAAGTACTTTCAAGTACCTCCAAGTACTTTCAAGTACCTCCAAGTACACTCAAGTACCTGCAAAGTTTCTTAAAAGTAGTTTCAAGTACCGATAAATATATTAGAGTAGGTAAATACTTTTTCAAAATCTAAAAGCTTATCAAGTGAAAAGCAATAAAGACGAACGAATACGAAAAAGTTCTTTTATTTATTTGTAAAGTGTAGAAAGTATCAATAAAAAAACATAAAAAGAAAAGAATTTTATGAACTAATATGAGTTGTTTGTTGCATGACCCGAGATAAACGATCACTTGATAATCTTGTTGATTTGTTGGACAATAGCCAGCAAGCTGATTGTTTGTGAAGATATTTAATTTTATCATTTATTTTGATTTTAAAATACGAATGTTTCAGCGTAGGATTAATATTATCAACAATTTTTATCCCATCAAAACTTGATCTTGTTGAATTTAATATCTCTTCTTGTTCATTGTAATCATCATTTTCAAAATTCAATAACTCATCATAAAGTTCATCTTCATCATCACTACTCGCATTCTCATCTTCATCAACTCCATCGTCATCTGATTCTAGTTCTTCATTGTTATCAGTTGTTGCTCGTGACGAATAGCCAAACATTTTTGAACTCTTCCTTAAGCTGTCAAATACAAATTCACTTAAGGTTTTTAAATCGATTATATCATTTTGTTTTAATTCTTGTAACATTTTTGAGTGATGTACGATATCAATTGCCTGATTGTATGCGTCTGATATAATTTGTTCAAGATCTAAAGTATTAATTTCATCTAAGTGATCTATAGAGATTAAGGAATGATCATGTTTGTGTTTATGGTGTGTTGGAAAAGATAAATGGTTTTCCGATTGATTATATTTAATTTGATTCAATAGACATAATTTTTGTGCGCGTCGAATGAAATTGCTAACAGTAAAATTGACTATGGTGGAGAAAGAACCACTTAGCGATCGTGCATCTCTGAAGATCGATTCACATGGTTGAGAATTGAACAAATGTATATTAATCAGTGCTTGTTTTGGCAAATGTTGTTGTTTTACCAAAAGCATCAAATAAAGCAGATTGTGTGCATTCAATTCAATAGACAAATATGCAGGTTTTGAAATAAAGCATTTATTTACGTTATTGGTCTTTTCAGTTGTTGCTTTACTTCTTGATGAACTGGAAAATGAATTGATTTTTAACCATGACCACCATATGCGACAAACGAACACGACACACCATGCTAATTGTACACCTAAATGTATAGAAGCGTTTTTGAGATTAATAAGTTTAGATTTATAATTTTTAAAGATCGAAAATAAACTTACGTTCACGAACGGATGTTGATTTATCAATATAAGCTTTCACTATCATTTTTAATAAAGTTAAGTATACAACGGTTCCATTCGTGTCCACACCATTAATCAAAAGGTTTATCACGTCATCTGATATTAGTTTAATGCAGGAGTTGTAGTTCTGGCGATCTTTTGGATTAATGTCGCTGCTTGTGAGACCATGATCCAGTTTTGTATAATGATCGTTACTAATCAATGCTTCAATATGTGTTATAGTGATTTTGTCTGTTCCAAAACGTAAATCAGTTGTTGTTGACAATAATCGATTTCTCCATTTTGTTACAAGATGGACTGGATCTTGAAAAAACAAGAATAACTGGTTATTTCGAAGGAAAAACCATTTCCAATGTGTTGGGACATTAATTTTGAATGCATGCTGATGCTTATCTAATTGTAAATCGGGTAATGATGCAAAAAAACCACTTGCAAGACGCATAGCACTTACATATCTTCTGTCGGCATCTATTTACAAATTAAAACAGCATTTTAGTTAGCATAAATGTCTTAAAATTTACCTGTAGAAAATCCAATGATACGGACATTTTGATCCAAACAATGTTGAAAAATATACATCCATCGATTTAATACATTTATTGCAGTAATTTTATTGTCAACACCGTACGCTGATAATAACAATGGTCTTGGAATACGTGTTGCATTATCTTCAGTTGGTATACTTTGAAACATGTGCACATTTAACAATGATGCTATTTCATTCGTTTCATAAATTGTCTTCAATTCATTAAACGTATTAGCTTGATAGAATTTTGGTAATGGAATTCCATGATCAATTGGAGTCACAAACCCGACGAAAGAATTTGTTTTTGAGTCATATTCAACTTTACGAATGATCCCTGTGGTGTCTTCAGAGCAAAAACCAAACTGTGAATGGCATTGCCGAAGAGATTCAAAGTTAAATTCTGCTTCACTAAAGGCAGTGTCTGAGTTTTTAATTAATTCACCAAGTGTTGTTAAATTAGGAATAGAACCATAAAGATTTAAACGAATAAATTCATAGGTTTGTTTGCCACCGAGAACATATAAGCATATGGCAAAATTTTTAATTGATTCACTATGTCTAAAGTTATTCGGGGATTGTGTACAGTTGTTTATTAGGTTGTCTATAAATGATACTAAAAATTGATTTGTTTGTTTAACACCATTTAAATCATTTAATCGATACCATTTTATTAATGACTTTAATAATGAATGATTATCGAGAAATTCATCAGTTATATAGTTTGAATAATTTTCAGTATTTTCATTTGGTGCTAATTCTTGTTTTTGTTTTAACGCTTTATTCAATAGATTTATAAAATATGAAAAACTGCTTTGAATACCTGGCTTCACAATAAATTGTCCTGTCTTAGATTTAAAACATGATTCACGTTTAATAGCATCAGTTTCTTCTGAATCATATTGAAAAAATGCAAATATATCAGGAGTATTCAATAATTTGCCAACAGAGTTAATCAATTGTATTTTTAAAATCTTTGCTAACGAATCACCTGCTACTGATTTAACAACATCATAAAATTTATGATCAACACGTTCAAAAATATCTTTTGGTAAAACCGTAATGTCAAGTAGAATATCTTCATTTCGAGAACACATTTCGTTTGAATAATATGTATTATTAATCTAAAACAGCTATGAAATAGAAAATATAACTACAAGGTTTGAAAGATAAATACTTAGCAGCTAAAAAATTGAATTTTTTCTTTAGCTATTCGCTTAAATTATGAAGAACAATAGTAATATATTTAATCCAGCTATGATTGTAAAACCAATTCTAAATACAAAAAAATAATACTTAAATAAAAAATAATATAATGTGACTGTCAAAGTTTAAACAATAACAACAACAAAAAAACGCTTTATTTTGAAGTTATTTACATATATTCAATCAAAAGAAGTCAATTACGAACTACATAATATTGTAATGCTAACTCTTATATATTATTTTGTTAATGGAAATGAACGATCATTCATTGGACAGCGAATGAAGAAAACATATTGATGATGAAAGTATTTTTATTAACCACGATTTGCAAGAAGATCAGATAAGTCAACACACTAAATAAATTTCTGTGAAGTAGCTCACTACGAAAGAAAATTTCATTAATGAGAACCATGAGTAATGATGGTTATGACTAAATAACAAAAAATTGAATATAATCATATTGAAAATGTATTCATGGTTTATTATGCACTTCGAAAATTTATTCGACAAAAATGTAGATTATAACATAATAATAACACATTAAAGTACTTCTAATAAAATAAGTGGATTTTTCAAAATCGCTAATATATATATTCAAGTAACTTGAACAAGTCATTTTCAATCTATAAACGCTGCTTTAGAAGAGTCAAGAGTCATTAGTCAAATCATACAACTATTTACTATATTTTGTTTGTAGAGGTCATTACTTTATGAAATATCTACGAAGCAGACTGTTGTGTCCATTAATCGTTTACAATTGGCTAATTTTATTCACAAATCGTTTATCAATCTTTTTTTCCGTGTGCATTGATTCAATCAATTTATTAATTTATTTACGTTGTGTAAAATGTATTTTTAGCATGAAAGCACTAATCCTGACATATTTTCTTATATACTCTTATATTCTCTTTTAGAATAGTTTTATCATGTCCATTTCTTATCATTTTGATCACTTGCCACCGAACGTGTTAACGTTATCTGGCTATGATTTTTTTCAATTCATTCGAAATACTCTAGGTGAACCTGAAGCAAATTTTTTGAACAAAATTTCAGTGAAAACAACATCGTCATTCATATTAATTGAAAATCCATTAGATATTTTCAATGAAGATATTGATGATGAAGAATTAGATACATTAAAAGGACAGTTATGTTTTAAAATGAAGAATGATAAATTCTTAATTAAACCTGGTGTTCTTTCCGGATTTGTTTCACTGAAGGAAGCTTTAAAAGAAAAATTAAATCAACAACATGCACCAAAAAAAAAACATCAACAATCAAATAGTAATGTATCATCAATCTCTTCTTTGACATCATCAACTCAAGAAGCAAAAACTTCTTCATTATCTTCATCAGAACATAAATCACATGTTCTGAAACTAATTAAAAAGTGGTGTAAAGAAAATAGAGAGAATTTAAATTTAGAAAACTTTGAATTAGAAGAAGATATTGATTTTACATTAAATGTTGATTTCGATTCAAATTCTAATGTACAAGCCACTATCAAGTGCAAATGTGGCAAACTGATCACATTAGGTAGAAATGATCAGAAAATACAGGTCTCGAATTATTACAAACATTTACAATCTATTGGATGTAGCCATATGAAAGAAATAAAAAAATCTGAAAAACAAAAATTGGTACAACAGCAGCTACAATCAACATTTTCAGTATCACAAATTCCAACATCTCAATCAAGTATTTCGTCTGTGCATTTATGCACCAATGAAAGTATAAATACACAATCAACATCTAATACAAATTCAATTTTAACATCCCAGCCAAATCATAATGCTAAACGTCGTATAATATCAGAATCACAAAAATGTCCTTCAACAAAAAGAATTCGTAATTGAACATTTTTCTATTTTTATTTAATTAACGTTATTTGATGAAATATGATTGTATAATGAAATAATAAGACAAAGAAATTCATCAATCATTTTACTTTTCGCAAAAATAATACAGTGAAGCTGTTGACTTCTTTCATAGGGTTATTTTCAACACTAAAGTTTAATGAAAGAATTTTTTACTTATATGTACGAAGAAACAATTGCTTTTCTTTCTAGTCTTTTCTAATTTTTTCTTAAACATTGCACTACGAAGGGGAGAAATGATGTCATCGTAGTGCAATGTTTAAGAAAAGACTAGAAAAGAATAGAAAGAAAAGCAATTGTTTCTTTGTATATATAAGTAAAAAAATTCTCTCATTAAACTTTAGTGTTGAAAATAACCCTATGAAAGGAGTCAACAGCTTCACTGTATTATTTTTACGAAAAGTAAAATGATTAATGAATTTGTTTGTCTTATTGTTTCATTATTTTTATTTATTCGATATACACGTATTTAGTCAATTATATTTTTGTTTTATCTGATTTTTCTTCAATAAATTGTTTGGAAATACATTGTTGTATCATTTATTGCAGCTTTTTTCTTGATTCAAGGATTTTTTTCAATGCTATATCGTTTTTTTTATCGAAAATATGAAGAATTAGAATGCTAGCATTTAGAAATAATGATTAGACTTAGATTATAAGAACTTGAATTAACTCAAAATATGTTCAAGTAACTTTAAGTAACTTTAAGTAACTTCAAGTAACTTCAAGTAACTTCAAGTAACTTCAAGTAACTTCAGGTAGCTGCAAGTAGCCCAAAGTACTATTGAAGTAGCCTAAAGTACCGCTCAAGTAACCTAAAGTATCGCTCAAGTAACCTAAAGTACCGTTCAAGTAGCTCAAAGTAGCATTGAAATACTCAAAAAAATAACTTGAAGTAAATCAAAGTATCGTTCAAGTACCACTCAAGTAGCTCAAAGTATCACTGAAGTAACTCAAAGTAACTTGAAGTCGAAAAGTCCGCCGTTTCCCCCTTGCTTATATCTGTTCGTTGTAAAAGTTCCTCTTTGTTCTTACTTTGTTGCATGTGAAATTTCCATATTTGTAACAACCTCATTTATGTATATGTTGATAATGAATATTTACTCTTCGAAACATCGATATTTAATAGAACAGAATAAAAAAAAGAAATGACTGTTTCTTTCTGTCAAATTCAAACAATCATCTATTTAGTTTTCGATCTATTATGTAATGCTAAAGGCGACACCGTCTTCTCATGGCACCACACGTTTGAGTAGTCATTTCATGAGTCTCAAACCACTTCGCTAAACAAAGAGTCACTGTATTATATTGAAGTGCATCCGATTTTGAAATGAATGGTTGTTCGTGTGAGTCTTCGCTTCATTCACATCCACACTTTAGTCGAGTTGTAATATTTCACATGAAGTTTGTGCTTTTGATATCTTCCACATATATGGAAGAATAGTTTTCTTTCCTCAGACTTTTCTTTTATTTCATAAGAAAAGATAAAAGGTTTACGGCAATAAATAATGGTGTGTGCCCATGTTTGAGAAGAGAACTGAAACCTAGAGGATATTTTTACATTCGTCTGGTATATTGAATATAGCTGGATCAATGATCTTCGGTACAAAATCAGTTGTTGTGATTGCAGTTGCAACAGCTAAAATGGCCAAATAGTAACGAATGTATCATTGACATAAAAC